CCCTGTGGTCAGAATGGATTATGTAACAACACACAAGGCAGTTATTACTGCATGTGCAACGCAGGGTTCACTAACTATGGCAACAAAACGGCACGCTGCACTGGTGAGGATACAATAAAAACTGAACTTTGCCAAAATCCATTTTAATCTGATTTTCTTCAAAGTAAATGCATGAACAGAACACTTCAAGAAAACTTTGGTCATCAGTAAAAACTTTTAATACTTTATTTCCTCAGAATTAAACTGTGATGTTTTCAAAGATATAAATGATGTGAAAGAGGTAACTCCACACAAGACACAGTTATATCACGAGTCAAAATATACTTGAAATGCGTATTATCTCATAGATTTATTTTATCATCCTCCAATCCCTCTTCTAGAGATTTCATATTGCAGATGGCTTAGTGAATTACATGGAAAAAACCTGTCAGGAACTCACAAACAACAAAAGACCAGTAGAGCTGAATGGAGAGGAGACTCTAAAGGTACAACTAAAGTAAACTGTAGTCTTTTTTTTTTTTTGGAGGGGGGTGGAAGGGGGGGATATGGTGTTCAGATTTCTTGTAGACTGTTGATGTTGACCCCAGTATCAAAGTCTGCCTCAGTCTGACTCTTTCTTGTTTCACCCTGCAGTTACGATTATGTCCAGAAACATTTGGACAGTAACAGATTTCTAAGAAATATTGTTCTGTACTGCAATAGATTTTAAATGAAACATTTAAATGCAATTAATGCAATTAAAATGTGTGCTTTCAGCTGTAATTCAAGCTAAAGAAAGTATTACATTAACTCCTAAAGAATGATTGCATTGTTCACACATAATCACAAATATCTCTTTTTTGTCTTAAATGCTGAGTGAAGAGCATTCACAATCTGGCCTTTTCATGTAGTCTTTGTGTTTTTTTTTCATTGTGCTAGGCTTGGATAATTAATTTGTAAATATGATATGCCAACCTACTAGAGAGTTTTCTTCACTTGCTGGATGTTAAGGTGTTCTTTTACTGGGTGAAAAGTTTTCAGCAATCATCCAACGCTGTTGTCTTCTGCTGCCTTTTTGTGTTGCTTAGCTCATCATTTCATTCTTTTGTTTTATTTATTTGAGATAGACTAAAGCCCCCTGTAACCCTGAATGTGTGTCTGCATGTCTGCCCGTGTGTAAATATTGCCTGACTTAAGTGTATTTTACTCCATCTTCCTCTCTTCTCCTGTGCCTGTAGAGATTCCTGAATATGACTGATGAGCTCTTGTCCAGTGCATTTCTTAATTATAAAAGGAAAGTTTCAGACTTTCTTGACTTGGTGGGAAATGCTCTGAGACTCATAGGACCCTTCACTAATTCTTCAAGGATTTATATCTCCTCAACTCAGACAGGTTAAATAGAAATTCGAAGAAAATAAATCAATTCACTTTTAGATGATTTTTTATTGATACAACTTTAGGAAACCAGCAATGCATGTTCAGAAAAGTCTGTCTGGTTTCAGAGCTGGACATGTTTGTACACAAGGGGCCTGTTATACCTAAAGGAAACATAACATTATCAACTAAGCATGCTAACTTGGACATCCAGATGGAGATAGCTACTGGAGATCCTGCCTATTACCCCAGTAATCATATGCCAACAAATACTATATTTCTAACCAATTTCATCAAATTATGAGCCCCTCTAATGATGCTCTCCTTTCATTCTTACAGGCTTTACAACAGTGTCCTTGATGAGCTATTCAAACCTGGAAAACTCTACAGATGGCTTCTTTAATGGAATGAAATCACAAAAGAACCAGAGCTTTAAGATAAACTCCAAAGTGGCGACTGTCACTGTCAGCAACAGAAATACAAGCCACCTCAAAACGCCAGTTAACCTAACTTTAAACCACCTAGAAGAACAGGTAGAGGTTATCTCTCATTTGTTGTTTCAGATTGTGGTGATCACTTTTGCCAAAAAAACCCCCACATATATTTGTTTTATAGGCAAATCAGACATTCCACATCTGTGTGTTCTGGGATTCCTCGGTGAATGGAGGATCATGGTCTGATCGTGGTTGCGGTGTGGCAGAGTCAAACCTGGAATATACTTCCTGTTCCTGTAACCACCTGGGAACCTTTGCTATATTCACGGCTTACAATGAAATTAAGGTTTAAACTAATTAACCGCAACATTTAAACTTCAGACTATTTAGTAGTTAAACCTTTAATCCACTTTCATGTACTTTCATTTACTTTCCCAACAGGAGAAGTTTGAGTTTCATCTGATCATATGGGTGTTCCTGTCCATTTCACTGATTTGCTTATTCATCTCCATCTTGACATTCTCAATGATCCGCTCTATTAAAAGTCCAAGAACCACCATCCACCTGCATCTCTGCATCAGCCTCTTCATTGCAAACCTTGCCTTCCTAGCAGGAATCTCTCATTTTGAGAACCAGGTAAATACTAACTGTGTTTGAAGCTCAGATGAATGCAGATCCAGAATTTTTTACTTAACTTGAATTGTGATGTAAAGGGACAAAATGAGGAAAAGAACAGAAGTTTAGTAAGTCTAGTTCGGCAATATCTCATCTCTTCCCCATTAGGATAGCTGCACAGTGGTGACAGGGATCCTGCATTTTTCCTATCTGGCAACATTTTTATGGATGTGTCTGGACAGTGTACAACTGCTCAGGATGATAATGCTTGTTTCGAACACCAACTTTAAAACCCTCCACATGATGGCAGCTGCCTATGGAGTTCCAGCTGTTATTGTTGCCATCTCTGCCTTAGCTAATTCCAGGGGACATGGCACTGAGAGATAGTAAGTTCCCTCTATTCCTAAAATTTTATCATCAATTTATCCTTGAATCTCTATTTATCTTAACTCTTAATGTGCATTTCAGCTGTTGGGTAACCCAGGGATTTATTTGGAATTACTTTGGCCCTGCATGTGTAATCATCATTGTAAGTAAAGTTGAAATCAATTTAGGGAAATGATTATAGAGTAAAATGATGTGTAAAAAAAAAAAAAAAGCTGATTTAAACATAAATGTTGCTTTTGTTGTTCATTTGTTTTTGCTTTTTCAGGTAAACATTTTCTTCTTTTTCATAACTGTATGGAAGTTAGCACAGAAGTTCTCAAGTGTAAACCCTGACCTGGATGACCTGCACAAAATAGAGTAAGTTACCCATAAGCTGCGCGTAGAAATCACTATCATGATCCTGTTGAGTTTTGGTTGTGCTGTTTAGATTATTTCTTACGTTGCTTTAGAATTTTTTATCTAGGTTTTGGATTTTTGTTTTGGGATTGGTCCGTAGCCAACAAAGGCTGATTTTTCAATCGGTCATTCATTTTCTTGCATGCATGTTTTCTGCAGGGCATTCACCATTAGTGCAGTGGCTCAGCTATTTGTATTGGGCAACACCTGGATCTTTGGTTCTTTCCAGTTTCAGGAAAACCATACAGCCATGGCTTACCTCACCATCTTTGGCAGCCTGGAAGGAGTTACACTCTTTGCAGTGTATTGTCTGTTTTCCAGGCAGGTTAGTAATATTCATGCTTAACTAAATAAGAAGTTCTTGCCTGTTGGTAAAATTTCATTTATATCCTCATTTTAGGTGAGGGAAGAGTACAAACACGCCTTGACCAGAATGTGTGCTCCTCGGAAGAAGAGTGACAGAAAAGCTCGTGTAAGCAGTTATTTACAGAAATTGATGGCACGGATTAACATTTGATCGGCAGCGGTACTGCCGCAAACTATTCCTGAAGTTTCATTTTGAACACCTTCGAAATTTGACCATTTTGTTTGTTTGATAAGCTGTTCTGAAGGACATCAAGATGTGAAGTGAATAAGATCCTTTGGTTATAATGAAAGACATTTTTGATCATTTTTTGAATATGAATATTCTTCATTTTGTCATCATCAGGTTTCGAAGAGTGCCCAGGATACAAGAGAATGTCAACTTTGAGGAGCTAGAAAGTAATCACCTGCCAGATAAAAACTGCTGACATGTATATTTCAATTTTTGTACTGGACAAATATCTCTTAAGCAATCTTATAAAAGTGGAGGGATGATGACTTTGTATACTTGCTGATATCTGTAGAATTCCCCATGTCATTTCTGAAGCGGAAATTTCTGAAGATGTCAAAAGGGTTTTTGTACCAGGCTGTAAATATGCTTTTTAATGCTATAAAATTTGCCTTTTTAACATAGTCTATGCAGACTGACTCCCCTTTTGGAACCAACTTCTTGTGTCATCTAGAGAAACTGCAATAGTTGCAATTTCTGCTTTGACTTCATTTTCAAGCAGCCGAGGTTTACCCTAACCTCAGTCATATTTACCATCACCCTGTTGTTGGTTAAACTAATCATCTTTTTTTTTGCCTGAATTTATATTCAGTTAACTGTTGGTTCTGTAATTTTGTTGTGTTACCTACCACTAGTTGGGGCTCCCACTCCCTTCTCTGTACAGGGAAAATATAAAGGGTGCAGCACTTGAGAAGTTCTATGTATGCTTTCAGAGTAAATTGAATTATAACCACTCAGCAGAAACTACATGCAACATGCGGATGCTAGCTCACCAGAAAGGAAGGCTGATGGTGTTTGCAGATAAGACAGTAACACTAACAGTAACTTCACTCAGGACACACATCTGGCATCCTGTGTTTGAAATATTATGAACAGTGAAGGTCGACCAGGTTCATTTTTCTTTTGTGTAATACAGTTGCAAAGAGCATTTATAATGTACAAATTAAGAAATATGAATAATTAGGTATCCTTGTTTTGAATGAGAGCTTTTATGATTTGTTTATATTACATTTTGACACCAATATATAATTTATGTAATATCTATCTATATCTATAGATGCAAATATATAGACATGTATAATCTGCAACATGATTTTTTGAAATAACATTGAATAAATGAAATCTGTGTTTGCAACAAACTTTTTCTCTTCTGTGTTCAAGGTGATGGCTTAAGATTTTTTTTTCTCAGCTCTTCTTAAATGTCTTCTTTCTGCTCATCTAGACATTAACAAATTTCAAAAAGGAAATCTCTGTGTTCACAATGCATCATGTATCAACACACAAGGCAGTTATTACTGTTTCTGCAATGCTGGCTTCAGACTAAAATCTGGCTGATTTAACTTGTCTGGGAATCTGGAACAATAAGGAGGTGAAGGCTGAGTATGACATAATGCAGCAAAATGTTTATCGTCTCTAGGCATTGTTATATAACAATATAATTAGATTTGTAATATTTAGAAAACTACTATAGGGGTTAAAGTCCAGACGCTTTTCTTTGCAAGCTCCTTTGACTACGATGACCTGGATGACTGAGAACCTTCACAGACATACTATAGGGGTTGATTACATTAAATTGTAGAAGCTTAATTTTCAGACAGCTGCATACGATCAGAAAGAAAAGCACGCACAAACCTGGAAGAGTTGGCCAGATTTGTAGTGAAACGGCTGGCAATGGACAGATGCAACGGTATTGATGATTACACCCTTGTTCAATAAAGAGGATTTATGTTGTATAACAAAACACAATAAGACAGCTCATCAATTTGTTCATCTACACGGGGCATTTTGTAGAGGGTAGCAGGTGTGCCAGTTTGTCTTGAAACAACAAATGTAATCTCCACATTATGATGTTTTTCTCAAAATAGAATTATTACTTTAATCTTATTTTTTTAACTTTAATCTCAAAACCCATCCATCCATTCTTTACCACTAAATGATCAATAATATTTTTGTTCTTAATAATGCCCATTTCCACTGCAGAAATGGAACCATTTTGAGCCAGTGACAATACAAAAAAACTGAACTTCCTTTGTGAATTATCTGAAATAAATCTCTCAGGAGCTCAGAGACAGTAAGAAATCAGTGGACCTGAATGAAGAGGACATTCTTTGTAGGATAGAGTCTGGTGACCCTATGGATGGATGTTGGAAAACTGTTCGTGTTGCGCTGGCTATTTCTTTCTGATTAATTTGTTATGACTCTAATTAATAAATTAATAAATAGACAAAGGGCATTAGTAAAGGTGACTGGGTAGAAAAATAGGAATAATTATAATAATGTTTTAATTTGTTCATTTATTTATTTGTTGAGTCACTTGAATTAAAGCTGAGTTTCATTAGCTTAGCTTTAACTTGTTGCATTCTCATCTATTGAAAAACAGAAATAAATTATTTAAAATTGTGTCATGGGCTAAATATTTTCTGACTTTAACTGTATTTCACTCCATCTCCTTCTCTTCTCCTGTGCCTGTAGAGATTACTGAATTTGACTGATGACCTCTTGTCCAGAGCAGTCCTCAATTCTAAAAGGAAAGTTTCACATGTTCTGGTCTTAGTGGGAAATGCTCTGAGATTCATAGGGCACTTAAATACCACTTCAGAGATTAATATATGTTCTACTCACAAACATTAAATAGAGGTAAATCAGTTGAATTTTTGACCATTCGTTAAGTAGAATTCAACCTTTAACTTATATTTTATACAGTATTAGCAAAGAAGCAACGCATGTTCAGAAAAGTCTGTCTGGTTTCAGAGGCGGACCTGCTTGTACATAAGGGGCCTGTTATATCCAAAGGAAGCACGGCTTTATCAACTAAGCATGCTAATTTGGACATCCAGATGGAGATAGCTGCTGGAGATCCTGCCTTTTACCCTGGTAATCACATGCCAACATATACTGCATTTCTAACCAATCTTGTCAGATTGTAACCCACTCCACTCACATTGTGATTTTATTGCTACAGGCTTTACAGCAGTGTCATTGATGAGCTACAGATACTTTCTTTGATGAGATGAAATCACAAAAGAAAAACAGCTTTAAGAAAAACTGCATATATAAGATTTTTTTAGGCCCAAAAAATGATGGTTTCTTCAAAAAGAATGTGGAACAAAAAAAACTGTCAAACTTGATTGCTTGTGAAGAAATAATATCATTTTTAATTTGGTGCCACACATTGGCACAAAAAATTGTGAGACTAAAAACGTTATATAAATAAACATTATATATATAAAAACTATTACAGCAGTTCTTCCCTTCAGTGTCCTAACACTTACACTTACAGTGCTTTTAAAAGAATCCTTGCTGCAACACAGAGAATATTCAATTTTCAAAACTTTTATTTCACATCGTGTGTGTTTGTGTCTGCGTGTGTTGCGTTTTACACAGCACTCAAACTTTCTTGGTAACATGACTTTACACAAAGCTTGTTACATCAATTTCCTTTCAATTTCATTTCTGTTTATTTATTTTTCAAAAGAAGCTTGAAGAGATTAAACAGATAAAGCAGAGCTCCACACAGGGTAACATAACAATGCTTTTTGTGGCATCCACAATTTTCTCCAGAAGCACCTTCTGACATGTCTTTAAATTAGTCAAAATTGTATTTTAATGTTTTTCTGTTTTACATTTTCAGAAGCTTTAAACTGAATACATATTCTCTGTAATATTTTAGGCCTTTGTGTATTGACATTTCCGACTTCATTCATTTTATTTTATCTGGAAAATAAAAACAGAGGAAGGATAAAGAGTTCTATTTTTCTTTAGTCGTTTAGCAGAAATAAAATAAATAATTCCGCTTCCATTCAATGACATTTTCCATCTTTCCCCTTATGTTTCTTAGATCTGAGGGTTCAACTTCAAAGACTGAAATAGTTATACTCAGAGAGGAAATGGGAGACTGTCTCCACTTCCTTCCTGTTTACGTAAGATCACAGATAACAACTCTGAACAACTCTGAAGTCTACACATAGGTTTATGAATAATGCTGTTTAAGTTATCATTGCAAATTTCTTGTTTAGAAAATGTTTAAATACATGTCTAAAATACTTTTTCAATAATATAATTTTTAATATGTGAGATACCTGTTAGGATGTTGTTTAGCATGTGATGGTGCATCTAAGTATCTAATTATCATCTACTCTTTCAAACTCTTTTGATGATTTTTGTCTGGTGTATAAATGCTGGAATTTGAGGAAGAAAATGTTAGTGAGGACTAACATTTTTTGAGCTCTACTCTGTTCCAAATGAGCATCTCTTACGAGTAGATTAGAGGACATGTTCAGACGGGAAAGAATAGTATGCAGAGAAACCTGTCTGCAGATAGAGAAAGAGAAAGGTAGACCAGGCAGGAAGAGGAGCTTTCAGAGGACAAGAAAAAAAATTAGGGGAGGGGAATGAAAGTAAATAACCGTAGGCAACTGTGATCATACTGTGATTTGGTACATGAGGCATCTGTGTTATCAAGAGGCACATTCATCATCCTTCATTCCTTTTGAGTGTTCATCAAAGGAGTCTGAAGGTAAGTTAATGGCAATTTACTACATAGAAATAATACTATACGTTTAGATACATTCCCCTCTACTGAAATAATTTAAGCAAAACGTGATTGTGGGGAGATCTTGGCAAGAAATTTCTTTAAAAAAAGAAATAAACACTCTCCTTTACAGTGTTGCTTCAGTTCATTTATGCAAAGCTCTCTTAGAGGAGTTGAGGTCTGAATTTTGACTGGGGCATTGCAGCACTCTGTTTTGTTTTCTTTTTCAGCCGCTCTAGTATAGATTTGCTCCTGTACTTCAATCAAGCCTGTTGCATGACCCTATTTGAGGCATGTTTTAAGCATTATTAGTCTACATCATTCATTAGGAATAAAAGCAGGGTTTTATCTACTGTGTTTCATTCTTGCCAAGGAATAGAGGCTCATCTAAACGCTCTTTAAATCCCATTTGTCAGAAACATACCACTTATTATTACTTTGAGCTGCCCAGTAAAGCATGTATCTACTGAGTTTTTGTTTGTTTGTTTTTAACTTCTCTGATGTGTTGTTGTCTGCGATTTACTTGAGATATCTAGATGGCAAAACAGGTTGAAATTAGCTAAAAAATTGTAGACTTTAACTAATGCATGTTCTTTTAAACTTTTTCATAATTTTTCTTTTTGTAGGTATCAATGGAAATGATGACAACTTGCCATCTGAATCAGACATGTGGCCAGCCGAATAGTAGCGTCCCACCTCCCATGAGCAATTCAGGCTTAGCAATATCCTGCTTCACAATGTTATTCGGCACCATCTCCAACCTTGCTGCACTGAGCATCCTGGCTAAGTCTCGTGGTAGATTCTGCCGCCAGTCCAAAGCACCATTCCTACTTCTAACAGTGGCTTTGCTTTTGGCTGACCTCGGAGGTCATGTGATCCTAGGTTCCTTTGCACTGTATCTCCACATGAATCATCAGTATACTATGAAACTATGTGATGTCTTTGGAACAAATATGGTGTTTTTTGGCCTGTGCCCTTTGCTGTTCGGTTGTGTTATGGCAGTGGAGCGCTGTGTGGCCATCACTAAGCCATTTTGTCGTTTTAATATGATTACTGTGGCTCATGTGGTACGGGTGGTGTTATTCCTTTCCGCTCTTGCACTTGTTCTGGCAATTCTGCCTTTACTCAAAGTAGGGACTTATACTATCCAATATCCATGCACCTGGTGTTTTTTGAGAGTTACTTCTCCATGTTTTGCAGCTGACACTTACCTGGCTTTGATTTTCTCATGTCTGGGCCTCACTGCGCTCACCCTTTCCCTGTTCAGCAACATAATGAGTGTTGCCTCATTGGTGCATGCCAGAATGAAGACCCCCAATGGTCAAACAAACCACACAACCCGCTTTGGTCGTCATGAATCACGTACATCATCTTCTTCGCTGTTTTTTTCATTGGATATAGAGGTAATGGCGCAACTGGTAGTCATCACTGTTGTTTCCTGTGTCTGCTGGAGCCCCTTCCTTGTGAGTGCTGCTTTTGTTATTCTGAAGACTTTTTTTCTACAATAATTTAGATATGATTTATTTTAATATTAGATCTGATTAATAAAAAGGGACAAAGAATAAATAACACATCATAATTGTTTTCTCTCATTTTTCTCCTACATTTTAGATCCAAATTCTTCTGATGCAGCTCAAGCAAAGCCCTGGAACATCAGCTCAAAAGCTCATCTATGTGGCTTTACGTATAGCCTCCTGGAATCAGATCTTAGACCCCTGGGTTTACATCTTACTGAGGAAGACAGTGCTCTTCAGAGTTTGTGGACAGAGATGGACCCTGACAAGAACATAGTTCCACTATTTGCATTAACTATATTACTCATGGACTTTTTGTATAGAGAACATAGATACTTTCTATTTATTAACAAACCAAGAGCTTATTTACACAAGCAGTTAGTGAATAAGAGATGGAGGCGGACTTGAACTACATTTCACAACATTTAGTAGTCTGTACCGGTTCTGTCATCAATAGCAGCTACTTGCAGATTGGCCAATGGGGCGGTATTAGTTTTGGCCAATCAAAATTGAGAAAAGCTTGACAAGCAGTGAGTTTAACAAATAGCGGACCTGCAGTAGAAGGTTAACGCCCGTGGTGGGTGGTGCTTCTGTGGCAGCGACTCTGTTCAATATGGAGTACAGAAAATAGCCACATTCAGCTGGAGTTTAACTGTTCTCATTCACATTTGTGCCACTTGGGCACAAATTATAATCGCAGGCTCGTAGAGGACACGTGACTGGACTCGCTAACGTATGTTTGACATATTTATAGATGTACTTTGAATAAACTAATAAATACTTGAGCACAACTGCGCTGTAAGAAGTAAAAGTGTGCTAAGACTTGGAAAAAAAATAATACGGATTTTCCTGAAAACGCTTCATTGGGGACTTTCTCGACGCTCCCAACAAACGGAAGGACGATTTGAAATACCGCTGGTTTTCTAAATAATAAGGCGGGCCGACCTGCGAGGTTATCGGGTGAAAGGTGACAGTGCTTCTGTCTAATTGACCTGTAGGTAAGTTATGCGTTTAAAGTTTGTGAGTAAACAGTGGTTCTTTAAATGCCGCTTGTTCACACACGATGCTTAAATTTGAGCTGAATTTCCTTTAAAAACGTAATCTCCGTTCAGTGGAGTAATGCGTTAGTTACAACCTGCAAAAGTTTCTCGTGTGTACTGACCTGCAACTGTAGTACTTTAAGCCTCCAGAGTGGAACTCATGTAGGCTTTAGCTCAAGCCAGTTCTTTCTGCTAAACGCTTCGTCTTTCTCCTTTTATACTGTGACAAGAATGCACAATGCAGCGAGTGTTTCAGCCTCTCTGGGGTCCATGGGACTGTGTCGTCTCTTCGGGGTGTCCTGGCCCTGGAGTCTGGCAGCAGGTCTTGGGGTATATCTAGGCACAAGCAGCTGGAAATACTTCTACATTGCAGCACGCACGGCCAAGAGAGACCTCAAGTAAGTTAACGACATCTACATCAAGTTGGGACTCATTTGCGTGTATATCTGTATACATCTTTGTGCTTAGACCTGATTTTTCTTGTCACACTCCCCAGTGGCTTGTATGTGCTCATGAGAGTGAAGCTGGCCTTATGGCGCTACATGCACCATGGAAGCAATATTCCTTCCATTTTCGCCCAGACAGTGAAACTCCACCCAAATAAACCAGCTCTCATCTATGAGGCCACGGGAGAAATGTGGACCTTCACCCAGCTGGATGAGATATCAAATGGAGTCGCCCATTGGGCGAGAGGTCAAGGATGGGTCTCCGGAGATGTTGTGGCCCTTTTCATGGAAAGTAGGCCATTACAGGTGGCACTTTGGCTGGGTTTGGCCAAAGTTGGAGTGGAAGCTGCACTCATCAACTTTAGTCTCCGCTGTGATCCTCTTCTGCACTGTATCGGGGTATCAGAGTCACGGGCGATTGTGTTCGGAGCTGAGCTGGCGGATGGTAAGAATGTAGAGATGATGTAGAGAGAGCTGATCATAAAATGAGTATTTGTTTTAATTTTGTATAAATGGAGCTGTTTGTATAAATCTGTGATGCAGTATTATACTGTCAGCAAGGGACAGGTGTTATGTTTGCACCCACAATACAGCTAGTCTCAGCTACAGATTCCTTGCTTGATATCTGTAACGGTATAGTAGATGGTCATCTTAGGTGGTGTCATTGTTAACACTCAATCTGTTTTAGAATATGTTATTAATCCCTAAGGAAATGATGTAGTTACAGTTGCTCCAAGACAATAAGAACAGTAACAGACTGAACTAATATAAAATATTACAAAGTTACAAAGTATAAGAAATAGCCCAATTATAAATATCCAGAATATTACAGAGATTAAATATATGAGTGACACTGTACTCTAAACTTTAAACTGTAAAACTTTATTTTGTTATTGTCACTGTAGAGCATATGCAAATATTAAGGCTTTAACTATTGCACTGTGTACTGTGCATTAGATGGAGAAATTGTACCGAGAGAGAGCCTCAGGCAGGAATGATTTCCTGTGTGGTTCAGTGGTGCATTTAGGTAATCTCAGTCTCTCACTGAACGTGCTCCTGTGACTGGGCACTCATGGAGTGGGTGGAGGGTATTGTCCAGAATTGTCCTTATCTTGGACAACATCCGCCTCTCTGACAACAAGGGAGTCCAGCACCGTCACAACAATATTGGCAGTATCCGCATCTGCGACCCTCAGCCTGCTGTAAAACAAACAATAATAATGACAGGGCCTATGAAATGTAAGATGAGTTGGACCTGTTGTTGGCATCCATGCTGCCAGTGAAATTCTTGGTGAAGCTAGTTAACGCAGTTTAAATACAACTTTTAAAAGCCAGAGACAATACCTGATATGAATTTGGCTGATCTCTCCTTCAATTGTGCGACCTTGAGCTCTTTAGTTTCCAGTGCTATTTTTAAATCACTTAGTGGAGGTCCTATTCTGATCATTTACAAGTGGCATGGATCCCATGAATCTCAAACTTGCACGGAGAGAAAACATCAGCAACTGTGTCAAACTGGCAAATGCCAGGAATTTTTGGCTGTACATACACAAGTATGTGATTAAATTCCCTGCAACTTTCCCCTTTACCAAAGTGGAATTCAAGTTAAAGGGCGAATGAGAATCCCAGAAGACCAAGTGATCAAAACATAAGTGTTCAGAAGTGATCTAATAATAGCAGATTGTGGTGAATTACTACCCAAGGTTATGACCTTGAAGAGCACTAGCTGAATTAAAATCATCTAATGGTGTTGGACAACTTTATGATCACACACATACAATCTAGAGAGTCTGAACTGAGCTGACTTATATCCCCTTTTTATATCTAACTATGTTTCTTCCTGAATGCCAGCTATGTTGGACATCAGTTCCACCATGAGCCAGTCCATGGTACGATTTTGTACAGGAGACCTCAGTGCAGAACAGTTAGCCTGTCTTGCTGCTCAACCTCTGGACCCTATTTTAGCTGCTGCACCTAAACATTCCCCTTCGCCTTGTGTTCCCCCTAAAGGAATGAATGGTGAGTATCTCACTAAACTCAGCTCTCACTCTGACACTTAATCTGTATGTTAATGAGTGACTCCATTTCAGATGCCTTCTTAAACAATTTCCTTACAGTGTGTGTAGCTGTTAACCTTTGGTTCTTGGTTGATTCGGAATTCCCAAAGTGTATGCGCCATAGTAATTCATTTTTCTCACACTGCTATTTCAAAACTAAAATTACTTTCCAGTAATTATATATCTCAAGCCTGATAAGGAAAATACTTGCCTAATAATGCGAGTCATTTTATGACAGTTGCATTTATTTTTCTTAGACAGCTGTCTGGAGCAGATAAGAGTGACTTGCTTGCACTGTCCAGTCTGGATATTAATAAACCATTTCCTAGCCCAGTGGTAAATCTGTCTTAGATGAATTAACATATAAGCCAGTATTAAAGGTGTGAGCTTCAGATATACCTTACATAACAGTTCAGATGAAATTGCAAAGGGAAATATTAAGCAAAGTAGAAACGATGTCTGCATTTTCAGTTCTTTAATGCATTGGTTTCCAAAATGCCATCCCAGCAGTAAATAAAACACTATGTAAATTTGCAGGGTGCATTTTTATGCTATATTCTATTGTTTTGCAGACCGCCTATTTTATATTTACACCTCGGGGACCACAGGATTGCCCAAGGCTGCCATTGTGGTTCACAGTCGGTATGTTTTCTTGAAGAATCACTACCAAAAGAAAAAAAAATCACCTTTCTTCAAAGTTAATACATTTAATGTTTATCTGGGAATCTCTGTTTTCTTTGACAGCTATTACAGAATTGCTGCTTTTGGGTATTTTGCCTTTCGCATGCGCTCTGATGACATTGTCTATGACTGCCTGCCTCTCTATCACTCAGCAGGTATGTGGTGCTAGTCTACAGATTTTTAATGACTACAGTTTCACCTTCAAGGTTTGATCAAGTTTTCTTCTCTTTCCAGGAAACATTATTGGAGTTGGCCAGTGTCTGATCCACGGCCTCACTGTTGTAGTGAAGAAAAAATTCTCTGCCAGCCGCTTCTGGGAAGATTGTATTAAGTACAACTGCACTGTAAGCACCTATTGATTTCATTAGTATGGCATTTATAATAGTTTTTTTGAAGTTATTCATAAACCATGAGGTTTTGAACAATAAGATTTTTTTTTTTTCTTCCCTCGGCTTGTAGGTGGTGCAGTATATTGGGGAAATCTGCCGCTACCTCTTGTCTCAGCCCGTGCGGCCAGCTGAGAAGCAACACAAAGTACGGCTTGCTGTGGGAAATGGATTGCGCCCCAGTGTTTGGGAAGCCTTCATGGAGCGTTTTGGGGTGGCGCAGATTGGCGAGTTCTATGGGGCCACCGAGTGCAACTGCAGCATTGCTAACATGGATGGCAAGGTCAGCAACTACCATGTAACTTGACATGCATGTCCTCACTATTACAATGTTAATTGGATCAGAGTTTGGCTAATTCTATCCTGCCAGGTGGGAGCCTGTGGATTCAACAGCCGTATTCTTCCCAATGTGTACCCCATCCGTCTGGTGAGGGTTGATGAAGACACTATGGAACTTGTTCGGGACAGCCGTGGGTTCTGTGTGCCTTGCCGTCCTGGTACTGAACATCTATACAGTAGTTACAACTTGAAGGGTTTTGGGAGTCTTTGACCTATGCTGGTCTTCTTAGAGTGCTAAATTATAGTCCTCCATGCCTTGCAGGGGAACCAGGCCTTCTGGTAGGCCGCATCAACCAACAAGACCCATTAAGGCGTTTTGATGGCTATGCTAACCAGGATGCTACAAAGAAGAAGATCGCTCACAATGTCTTCAAGAAAAATGATTCTGCTTATTTATCAGGTTGGGAATAATTTTTGTTTGATGCACCTATAAAGAAATTATTGTCCCTCGTCTTTTCTAAACAAA